AAACCTCTGGTGGTATTAGGAAGACACTAACTCCCAGCATTCGTCAACTTGTGAGCCCCTCTGGATGACAGACAGGTAAGTGAGAACTCCAGATAAGGGAGCCGGAGGCCTGCAGTGGAAGCTGCATCTCTAGGTGGAGGATACACTCACCTTCAGAGGACAAGCTTTTTGTCCCCATCATGGATTTTGCCTGCCACTGAGGGCATAAAGAGCTGAGTCCCAGTTACAATCATATGCATTGGAAGATCAGAAAGCCAAAATAAACCAGGGAAACCTGCCTAGAGGAGGTGCTGCAATAGTGGGAAAAGGAAGAGATACTGAGTCTCATCTTTCTAAGGACGGAGTTCATCTCTACTAGCTCTGCTTCTATGATTCCGTGATGCCAGAAATCATTCCAGAAATCCTGCCTCCTTTCTCGTTCTTTCCCTCTTCTCTGTCCCTTGCTTTGGGATGGTGGTTGAGAGTTGTTTGGGGAGACTAGATAGGTTGAAAAGGGGGAAGAAGTAAACCACTCTAGTTCCTTTTTCCTAGTACGGGTTGTGGGCAAAGATGTCATAGCACTTCACTTCCTCTTTCATGCTCAGACCTAAGAACCCAGCAAAGAGAAAAGGTAGTGACACCTTGGATGGGAGGATCCAGGAGGGGCAAGAATTGTGGTGATGGTGGTAGTAGCTGAGGAGGAGCTGAGCTAGGCTGCTAGCAGCTTGCCTTGCTGCACAGATGTTACTTGAAAATTCCCGGATGTTCATCTACAAGTAAAGGAGGGAATGGATGGAAGTGGGTAAACAGACCAGCCTCTCCAGCATTTGGGAGGACAGTATTGAGGCTGTTCTACAAGGCTTCTCAGTGGGTTTTCAGCAGGATGGAGTCCCAGTTGCATCTGGCCTATCAGTACACCTTAGTATTGGCTTCTCTTCCTTCTATATCTTGCTTTCCCCACTTCTTCACTCCTGTTCCCTGGGATCACTTCCCTAGCATATTGCCTACATCCCAGCCCTAGTGTCAGGGTCTGCTCTGGGAGAGTTCACACTAAGATAGGTGTCCTCTAATACAAATCTAATCTGATCAAGTTGCACCCTCCCACCCTGGGAAATTGTGCCTCCATTTCCTCCATCTGCAGCTGGTCTCAACTAGGAAGCTCTCTCACAGGATCCTGAGCACATTATATTTTCAGGAGCTCTGAGTTCTGTGTGTGCCAGAAAAGCAGTGTGGATTGTTGGTGGCTGAGGAAACAGAATGCCTGGCTCCTGCCTCTGAGAGTGGACACAGCCTGATCTAAAGCTACCATGGATATAGGAATCTGCTCTTCCTCCCCCACTCGCACTGTTTCACAGTCTTGCATACAAAGCCTGCACTGAGAAGCAGTTCCATCCCTCCAAGGGCAGCGTCACACCCACCTAGAGGTCCACATGGGCTTTGAGGAGGTGAGGACCACTAGGAGGGGTTTAGCAGGAGAAGACCCAGCAGAGATTCTTTGTAATTCTCAGATGAAGGGGTTCAGGGAACACAGAAGCACACCTCATAGTCTGGTGGGACTCCTCTGCTGACCCAGTCTAAGGGGTCAAAGCATTGAAGGGATCATTTACAGCTCTAGATAACTAAGAAGCCAAGTGACTGGCCAATATAAAGAATATTTTTCCGGGATAGTGCCCACCAGTCAACAGAGGGATAGGCCCCACCAGATGGGGTAGACAAGCAGAGGAGCTGGACTGTGGGCAACATTTGACTTCTAGCTTGTTTTTGAAAGACCGATTTTGCCTTTATTCTTCAGTCATTCAACAACTTTGTATTGAATGCCAGATGTAAGATGGCTAAAACCAGCCCCTGCTCCCATTACAGTTATCATCCAGAATACACCTGTTTCAAAATTAGTCTAGATGTCATTTATTTCCATAAGGCAGAGGAAAAGGACTTCTGACAATGTGGATAGGGGCAGAGTTATCTGAGAAATGGGTTGGGGATGAGGAAAATGCTTTAAAGGAAGTATAATGTAGGAAGAAAATGAGAGAGGACTTGGGGAGAGGAAATAGAGGGACTAGAGGGACACTGGCGAAACCTTACACAGTGAAACCTTTCCTAACCCTCCATTACATGGAAAAGGGAAACATGTTAGCTGAGAAAGGTGTTACTTCAAGTTCTGGATGCCTGCTGTTTTGGGGTACCCATCTCTCTTGCGTAAGGGTTTCAGCCCTGGGCAAGTTCACAATGGATTTGGTGAGACCAAGAAATAACAACGGAACATTCTTAGAGTAAAAGGGTTTATTGCTGGCTTTGTTCTCACAGCATTAGGTTGAGCTCTAGGATCATGTCTGCATCCAGCAGTGTGCAGGTCTGTAATCCACCATTACTAATTACTGCAGGTTACATAATTCACATAATCCAGAGCATTGGGCAGAGCTCTTTACATAGTGACTCAGTCAATAATAGCTCGTTGCCCAGAGTGTGGCAGTAGTAGCCTAGCAGTAGGCCAATTATATCATCAAGTAGTTTAGGGTCAGGTGAGGATCCTGGCCATAGGAACTTCCATTTTCTCCACACCACCTAAACTGCCCAGGTCTCCCTTGATGCACCCACACCACACCTGCTAATGCGTTTTGCCAAGATAAAGTGGGGGTGGTTGGGAGTGGTGAAGGGGCTGTAGAACCTTCTGTTTCATGAGGCAGATAGGATCACAAGTCAGCAGGTGCATCTTCAGCTGGAGACACTAGGAGACCAAATACTGACTTCTTTCCCAAGGGAGACAAGAACTATCAACTACTGGGGCAGAAGGGCGGGATCCTGCCATGTGTTGTAACTGCGAGACCAGTTTCCACCTGTCCAATCCCAAGGGGAGACTTTCTCCCTGATCCTAAAGGACGAGGGCTAGCTTTTGCCTCAACAAAAATTTAATAAGATGGGTTTCCCTGAAAATAGCAACTAAACACATCCACTACTCCTTACTCCTTATATCCCCTCCAACATGCTCTCTCCCTCTACCTCCCCCTTTCTCTCTCCTATTTTCACAAGGACAAAGGACATGAGGCTGGAGCCACTCCACCCTCTATCTTACAGCCTGTTTGGACTAAAGAATTTCTAGCTGAGCTTTCTAAACAAACAATACAGGTTTCCAAACAGGGACAGGGGAAGGAAACCATTAGAAGAGAGGAAAAAGAAAAGACAGTTCAGCCTTCCTCTCTCTTGTGGTGCCTCCCTGATCCACAGGGAACATCACCTCCCCCCAACAACAGTTGCAAGCTCACTATGCCTGTCACCTACTAGGTCTCTAGGAGACATTGTTCCTGTTGTCAAAGGTCTCACATTCTGGTCAGGGAGGAAATTATGCAAACAAGTAGGAACCTAAATGTGCCTGGTGCTGAGAGGGAAGTGGGTACAAGGTACAGGTAGGCATCCCAGAAGTCTTGTCAGTAAGATGGGAACAGGAAGGAAGACTTCATAAAAAGGGGCTTTTGAGTGTTCCTAGGTAATTGTTGCTTTCTTAGTAAAGAGAACAGCAAAAACACAGGCAATGAGTGTACTGAGCAATTCCATGGTGCTGCTACAGGAAGGGCTGGAAAACAATAGTCAAAAGTGACAAGTGAGGCAGGGGAAAGACAAAAAGACTGTAACCTGGGCAGCTGTGCAGAGCTGGAGAATTGATTTGCATAAGAATGGGTTAAGACTTCACCCTTAGCCCTGGAGCCAGAGGAGGAGGCCTGATTTAGACAGAGGAGTATCAGCAAACCAGAGTTGGAAGGCCCTCCTGATAAGTGCTCTATTGAGAGCTAGCACAGAAGGGAGAGAAGGGAAAGAAAAGGACCCAAAGGTTCTTGGCTTGAATGGCAGAGGGACGGGTGTTGACAGGCAGCTTTACAGAAAGAACGGGTTACCCGCACCCTTAGTTTTGCCACATTCTACCTAGCACATGCCTGCACCCATCTCTCACCTTAGAGGTCTGTGACCATTGGGTAACTTCTTGAGATGTTGACTGATGTTTCTCTTTCCTTTCCCTTGACCTTGGAGGTTCATGGTTTGCCAAAGCAGAAGGAATTTGCCTGCAGGCACTTTTCATGATGACTTGAGCTGTTTATGATTTATTTGAGGAGGCCTGGAGGATAAGAGAAGGAAGGAGAACCTTAGAGGGAGACATGGGCACTGAGGGAAGGACAATCATCTCTGCAAGCCTTGAACTGCAGTGCCCACACACTCAGCTCCTCAGTGATTGTGAGGCCTGCTGCAGACTCCCAGCACCACCAAAAATATCTGTGGCCTAGGAGTGGCAGAGCCAAGGGGCTAGGAATAGGAGGGTGTCTGTATAGAATACACTGCCTGCTAATGATGACAGGATTCCCCTGATCCTTGGAGCTGCATTAGTAACCCCTGGGCCTTGGTGTTACAGAAAAGGGCTGAGTCCGCCCCAAAATGAAGGTCAATTTCTTGCCTGCTTTGTGGAATAGGAGCTGGGGGGTGAGAGGACTAGGTCAATGCATATAAACAAAGCAATGCATTCTTTCCTGCACACACTTTTGTCCACTATCTGGGCAGATTCTGGGTCTCGTCCAACATTGCGGTCCCAGCACTCAGCTGAAAAAGGACCTGCTGCAAGATAGATGGAGGAAGGCGGCAGTGTGCACTGTCCTATCAAACTAATGGGCACTCCTGCGCCCCTGGGGAGTGGCAAGCTGGATGCTACAAAGGAGGTGGCGGCCCAAGCTTTCACTTTTACAAAACGCCAAAAAGACATGCAAAAATACCAAGCGGATGAGAGAGAGAGAGGGTTAATTTGGGGCAGCTCCGCCCATTGGACATCCCCAATGTACGGGGTAGGACCGGGCCCTGTTACAGAGCGCTGCGCCTGCGCACAGCAGACTCTGAAGCCGGAGCCCTCAGCAAGGTGGGCGGGGGCTGCCCGGGCATCCGGGTCCCTCACCCCGCCCCCGCTGCATGAATGAGAGGCACGGCGCCCGCCCCTCCCCCGCAGGGCCCGCCCCTTGCCGGGGGCCGCCGAGCGCAGTCGGCCGCCGCCACCTCAGACGCGCTCTGTCCCAACAGACTCCTGCAACCAGCCGCCCGCTGCCCGGCGCTGACGGTCCAGCACGCCTGCCGCCGCTGCAGCCGGCGCGCCCGATTGAGTGAGCGAGAGCGGGGACACGGGGGCCTTAGCTCCCGGGCTGGGGCTCAGGGGACCGGGCGGGTCCGGGTTCGGGATGCCGAGTCCGCGGGCCCGCGCTAGTCTCCCCAACTCACACCCCGGGCGTCTCGGCGGGGGGCGGGGAAGCGGGGGATAGTGGCCCCAGGCCCGGGGGGACGGGGAGGAGGGCCAGAGGGTGAGCCCCGCACAAAGGGCGGCGCGGGGCTGTCACCGGGAGGTCACAGAGCGGAGGTTCGCGGCGCCCCGCGCGCCGTGCCAGTCCGTGCCCTGGCTTCGGGTCCCCGGGCGTGGGAGGCCGCGGGATGAGGCGAGAACGAGGATAGCGGGCACTGCCGTCTTCGTGTTGGCAGTGGGAGCGCGCCTTGGCGGGGTGGGGGCGCGGCGTGGCAGTGTTTTCCTGGGCCCCGTCTGCTCCTCCCCTTTCTTTGTGGCGTTTGGCTCGTGCCCGTTTGTCACTGTGTGCCTGCTATATGGCCTGGAGTGAGACCTCTCTCCTCAGCTTACTCAGTTAATGGAATTAAGGTGGTGGTCTCATAGATGTGGGTGGGTGGCGTGTGTGCTCCCACGGGCCAGAGAATTAAGGACTCTTCTTTGTTTCCAGTGCGTGTGTGTGTGTGTGTGTGTGTGTGTGTGTGTGTGTGTGTGTGTGTCTTCCGAAGTGA